AAACCCTGTCTCGAAAAACCAAAAAAAAAAAAAAAAAAAAAAAAAAAAAAAAAGAAAACCACACGTACAGTGAATGTGTGCTAGTGGTAATTTAAGAACTAATTGTTGGGATGCTAAAAGAATATGCTAATGTGACTCTCATTGTGACCCTGTCCACAGCCAGAATATGGAAGAAAAAAAAAAGTCTTACTCTACAGAACATTTTTCAAACTTAGTATAAAAGCCTCAAATCCTATCATTTGCGACATCTGTGAACACAGAATGTGTTCTGCTGAATGAAGTAAGCCAGACCAAGAAAGGCAGAGGCTACATGATCTCAATTAGATGTGAGACCTAAAAAAACGTTGACTTCACAGAAACAGAGTGTGGAGAAGTGATTACCAGGGGTTGGAACAGGGAGAGGCTGGGAGGATGAAGCAAATGGTGAGATGTTGGTTAAAAGATGCCCAGGTTCAATTAGACAAGAAAAATAAACCCAAAAGATAAAAAAGAAAAAAAACTACCAACAGGCCCAAAGACAAATGGTGATAGGCTATGAACAAATGATTGCATGAAGTTGGAGAATTAAGGTGTGCTTTAAAAATACTCGGGAAGTAATCTACATACGTGGGTTCAGTTTCAAGAACACCCAGTGAAAGAAACTGTTCCAGCATATCCAGTGTCTGGGCACCAAGTCATCCACACTAGAGGCAACGCTTCCTGCCAGCTTACTCTGCAATCGTGAACTATTTTGTTTGACTATAAGAACCTTGTGCCTCTGGGTATGTGTATGGCTGGATTTCCCCTTCTTGATTCCACAGATGGTTGTAGCGTATACAATCATACATCAATCCTTTGTAACTTTCAATATACTACATATTCACCTATAGGAATATGTTGCCCAGAATTAAAACCTGCATAGTATCCAGGCTAACGGTACCACATTCACAGACAATCTTTTCCCTGTATTTTTGGTGTCATGAATTATAGGATGAATGGTAGTCTCTGAATCCCTCTGTACAAATCACTCACTACATCAATAGGAAAAAACGTGTTTGCCCATTTGGATTATTTGAATTGTATGTGATTTTTGTACTTAAACAGCAACGCTTTGATTAGAAAAGGAAGGGTGTATTTTAAAGTAAAACTGAATTAAAGAAGAAATGATGTGGTTCTGACTGGGAAAGTTCTATTTCACTGTGCTGGATTTAGCTGATAAGTGGGAAGGCTGGTCGGAGAGGGAAGAGCTGTTAGTAATAAGGCAGAAAATTGAAAGATGGGCACTTCCTCCAGAACCAGGCCTCGCAGCTAGGGGTTGTAGGCATGAGGCTTTTACAGGAACGCCAAAGAAGCCATATCACCAAGACAGGCAGTGAGACTGCTGTAATTTTCAGGTGGGCTGTTTTTGCTAATACATAGTCTGCTGTTTTCTGTAGATCATTGAGTGCACTGGGCTGGGCTCTGTAAATATAAATAGAAGTTTTTAATTAGAAAGCCATGACTCATCTTCTATTTCAGTTGTTTTTCCCTCCTGGGAATAGCTAATTCTGCAGCTAATTGTTAGGATAATATGGGCAAAGTGTATGGTATATCTGAATGATAACCATCACTTTGTATGATATATCCTAATAAAAATTAAAATCAAGTTGCTGGGATATAGAAAGCATGTCTCTCTCCCCCACTTTCCTTCTCCTCTCTCCCTTCTCTCTCTCTCTCTCTCTCTCTCTCTCTCTACACACACACACACACACACACACACACACACACACACACACACACCACAGGAAAAAAGAAAATGGTCACATTTGCCTCAGCATGGAAGAAGACAGAGAAAAACTGCCTTCACATCCCTTGTTTTATATGGTCCAGAGATATGATCTATAATAGCTGTACTCATGGCTTAAATGGATGAGCTTATTAAGTCTGGAGCAAGCAAAAGTGCAAGAACAAATAGCTAGACAGAAGAGGCAGGTAGATAGCAAAACATCGTTAAATCAGTTTAGGACACCCAGCAGAGACCATCATCAAATCGTGTTTATAACATCCAGCAGAGGGGTTGGGGTGGAAGAACAGCTCACTATATAGCCCAGATGGTCTGAAGCGGCCATCCTCCTGTCTCAGCTGAGATTACAGGTGTCTGCTCCCATACCAAGCAGGAAGCCTGAAGGACAGAGATTAAGGAAATACAGAGAACAGCATAAACGACCAGAGTTTCAATGGTTCAACAGCAGAAACACTGGGACGTATCCAGGAAGCATGGCAAGAGACCCATGTGGTCATGGCAGTTTACCCAGAATCGGCTGGTCCATTTTACGTCTATTGCATGCAGCATAGAGGGCAGTATATGGATTGAAGTCGTTACCCAGATCTGTTCATAAAGTAAGAGAAAGATCAGAGCTGGATTCTTTTTCAGCAAGATTCTGCTCATAAATAATTCCAGAAATACCTGCCCTAATAGCACTGAAAATGGTATTTTTGTGAACATAATAACACAAATAAATTCTTAAACAATTAAGACTCCTCCTGACTCTTGTCTGTCAGGGTTCCCAGTTTCGATGCTTGTCTTTCATTGGCATTAATTCTTTAATGGCCTTTCTTGCATTCGATTCAATAAAAGTTAAGAATACTATCCCCATATGGCTAGCACTATGCTTGGCCAATGACAGATCTCCTCAACCCTGGACCCAAGAAATGAATTTAAAATGTGCATACTATTTGTCTTTTTTAGAAGAAAAACATAGAAAAAGAACTCTTTTCAGTGAGATATTAACAAAGAACTAATTTTTAAAATGTAGTTGTTTCTGATCTGAGAATGTGGAGCCCTGAATTCAACTCCAAGTACAAAAAGTATGTCATTTTTTTCTACAAACTTTAGAAAAAAAATAATTTTTGTTGTTTTCAGAAAACATTCACCCATCTTGGCCTAAAAAATTTTGATGAATTGGAGCCTTGCTCTGTTATCTTCTGTAGACACTTTGTGGTACAGAGTACAAAAGTGAGAAGAATGTGAGCATACAGATACCCTCTGGTATCTCTCTTCAGTCCTGGGCACAGTTATCACTAAGGAGATTTTGCAAGGGAGCGTAATTGTTGCAGCCTGGAGTTTGCCATGCTATCATGAATGTTCAGCCTCCTTCTGAGAACCTGGGGAGACCTGGTTTGGTGATGGACTTGACTTCCTGGTTATGTGAACATTCTCCCCTTACCAGCATCTCAGGGGGTGTGCACTTAGAAATGAGCAATTGCCTCATGTTTAGAGGTTCTGTTCAAAGTGAGGCTGTTGGAAATGAAGATGGGAAGAGTTGAGAGTATCAGAGAAAAGACCTGAGCCTCTTCGTCACCAATGGTTTTCTGAATAGCCCCCACTATCCGACGTGATTTATGACAATAAATGTTCTTAACGGAATCTTTGAAGAGATTTACTCTTTCTTGCCTCTAAATGCATTTTGCAAGCCAATAAAGGGAGAAGTGAATTTTCAAGATATTTCTAAAAATGGGGCTGTCATCTTTGACACAGACAGGACTTCAACTTTGAAATGCAATGTGATTTCTATTTTCCCTGTGACTGTCCTCAATAGCGGCTACCTTTATTCCTAAGCGTTAGGAGCAGCGGCTGTGAGATCTAAAATGAGAATCTAATCGCAGCCATTTATATTGAAATAATAACACTGGAAAGCATTTTTTTTTTTATTCACTTCCCCTCCACTATCACAGCTGGCACCAGGGAACCTTTGCTTCGTTTTTCTTGTCTCGTCGTTTGGAAAACAAAGTACTAAGGAAGAGTTATTAAAGACTGCCCCAGACTTAATATTCCGAAGCAGCAAAACTTTACATCTGAATGTTGATTGATATTTTTGTGCTGCAGAAAAATCGCTAAGTAAGAAATGTCAGTAGATACAAAATACAGCTCACCTGATTTCTTCAAACACCTCTGAGATGGACCTGGATGACATATTTGAGACCAGAGATCATGCCAGGAACCAGGCGCAGTGGCGTGCGTCTAGCGGGCCAACTTCTTGGAAGACTGAAATGGGAAAAACTCTTTGAACCCAGGAATTCGGTCTGGGCAATACAGTGAGACCCAATCTCAAAAAAGAACTTGGTAGCAGATGCTAGATAATAGAAAGTGGGTTTTTTTTTTTTCCAAGATAATCTGTCATTCGTGATATTCTCTACTCTACTATAAGATTTGATTGACCTCAGTCTTTGGACCTCTGCTGCTAGGAAAGGAATGTCCAAAATGGCCTGTTTTTTTAAAACTCTTTGTGAGCACTATAGACTGACCTAACAGAAATGCCCTGTGCCTAGCATTAACCTGAGAGTGCGTGAAAAGATGCTACTTTCTTTTCCAGTCACGTTCGTATGTTTAAAACCACATTTGCAATTTCTAGACATTGAAAAGTCATTAGCAGTAGTTTGTTTAACACGACCAGAAATTGGTAAAAGTCATTGGAGTGGACCTTTGACACAGCGAATGTGTACATCAACGTAAAGATACTGACTGCCCACTGCTGGCCTCAGTTTCTGGATGTTGGAGTGTCTGTTTCCCAGGGACAGGCCAGTTCACGTGATTAGGTTGTGCTGATGTGTTGTGCCCCATGGGCATTGCCTCAGTAAATATTCCAGCTGGGCGGTGTTGGCACATGCCTTTAATAGCAGCGCTCTGGAAGCAGAGGCTGTTGGATCTCTGTGAGTTCAAGACCAGCCTGGCCTACAGAACAAGTTCTAGGACAAGCTCCAAAGCTACACAGAGAAACCCTGTCTCGAAAAAAATCAAAGTAAATGAATAAATAAATGAATGTTCCATACATATTATTTCTTTTTTTCCATACTCTCTCTCCTCTCTTCTGTATAAAATTATGTAAGTATTCCCTGAAGTATTGTGTCTTGGTCATTTAATATATAAAGTTTCTTTAGCTGTTATAGGACAAATGAACTTGCATTTTTCCAGCAAGGACAGCATGTAACACAGGTTTTTCTCTTACAGGTTGTGGAACTGGGAAGTATCTTAAAGTGAATAGCCAAGTACACACCCTGGGCTGTGACTACTGTGGGCCTCTGGTAGAGATTGCCCGGAATAGAGGGGGTGAAGTCATGGTATGTGACAACCTTAATCTCCCCTTTAGGGACCAGGGCTTCGATGCTATCATCTCCATAGGAGGTAAGGCAGCCAGGCCACAATCACACTTTGCCTTGAAAAACCACTGTCCGGCCAATCATATCATGTGACTCAATGTCCATTGTTTATAGAGGTCTAGGCAATGCATTTTACCTAATTTTAAAATATATATATATTCTAGTGCATGGCTTATTTGACTCTTGACTACATTTATGGCATATATGTTGTTTTAATTTTAAACCTTCAGGCTATTATTATATTGTTTTTGATGATTTACTCCCTCCCCCTCTTTTTTAACTATGTACATGAAGAATGTTAGGACTCTTACTCATTGAAAATATGCTTCGCTATATTGAGATCAGGCCAGATTCTCCTGAAATAGAGTAGATTTTTTTTTCAGGTGTCATGTTACTGAAAACAACAGGTCACAACAGTGCCCTTTGTTAACAGAAAATTCTAGAACTAATATATTGAACACCCCCTGGACAGGTGTGTCACTCACTGCTATTCAAGTTCCTGGAAAAGACAAGCACTGTCTTGTCCCTGACTGCACTGTTTGATCGTGTCTTTGTGTTCCTAGTTGTAGACGTTGTTGATGAGTCTATCTTCCCAGTAAAGTCAGCGCCAGAGCAAGCAAAATAACAAGAACAGCAAAATCTGTGTGTGCAACATGCACGCAAATATGAACTCACTTTACCCAGTCCTCTTTACGTCCAGTGTGTTGGTGGTCCTTAAATGTGTAGGAAGACCTGTATGAAAGGAATTCTCTAGCCAGGCATGGCGCTGTACACGTTTATTCTCAGCATTTGGGAGACAGAAGCAGGTGGAGCTCTGTGAGTTTGAGGTCAGCCTGGTGTACATAGTGAGTTCTAGGACATCCAAGGCTACATAATAAGACCTTGTCTCAAAACAAAACAAAACAAAACAAAACAAAACAAAAACAACAAAAAGAAAAGCATTCTCTACTAAGTTCTTTATAGTGCTAAAATCTTTTGCAAAGCAGATTACTTGATTCAACACATTTTTTTAAATTAACCTGTTGATGGAACAAACTTTACCAAAGCGAAGTGATCTTATGGAAGCTGACTACCATTCATGATATATATATACCATTCATGATATATATATATAAATATCATATATATATACATATATATATATAATGCAATTTATACTTTCCTGAACTAGATGAGAGATTGCTAGGTATCCTTAGATGGGAACTGTATCTTTGCATAGTGAGAAGATTCAGGCCTGGGTGTCTGTAACCCTGGAAATGGTCAGGAACAGTATAAGACAGTTGCCATGGGAAACTCCCCTACGCTATCTTACTTCCTGCTCTTGAAACGATTAGGTGCACTTTATTGTAAGCATTAGTCTATGCAGGCTGCTATAACAAAATACCCTGAATTCCTGTGTTGTAAAACAATAGACTTTTATTTCTTATATCAGAGAACCAGCCAAGCCAGCTCATTAGAAGGGCTGGCAGATGGCTGCTGCCTTCATCTCCCCCCCCCCC